GCCGGGAGCGGCCACTGCACTCCAGTCTGGGCGACAGAGTGAGACTCCAACTCAAAAAAATAAAAATAAAATAAATATAAAGGGAATTATAACTCAAGATAGCGCAACAACTATATGTTAGCAATGTTAAAAACTTAGATAACATGGAAGTGTTTCTTGAAAAAATATATATACTTTATGATATGTGGCTGAACAAGAAATAAAAAGCTTGAATACTTCTGCAACTATTGTGGATATTGATGCAGTTGTTAAAAACCTTCCAACAAAGATGAGGCTAGGTAATAAGAGCAATGATAGACTTTTTCAGGAGGTCAGGAGAAAGGTCAGGGCTGACACATGTCAGTAGAGAACATGTAAAACAGAAAACTATGGTAATAATTGTAAAATAATAGGAATAATACCGTGAATATACGTATAGCAACAAAGGCCATTTGCTGTTCTGGAAGGCCCAGCTGACACCTTGCCCAGCCTGGGCAGCTCACGGGCTGATGCACCAGGGCTATTCTTTGGGGCAAAGGCTGTCTCTGTCAGACCATTCATAAACTGCAACTGCTCATGGCTTCTTCCAGGAAGGAAGAACACCTCTATAGGTGGCTGGCATCTGTGGAAATGAAGGAACTGCCATATAGAAAACACGGCCATGTCATGAAAAGGAGGCGTTTGTACAGTCTTGGGGGTGTGAAGGACCCAAAAGTTTTCAGAATTTTTGTGGCTCTGAGATAGGGAAAGTTGTCCCAGTTTTCCCAGTTTCAGAACAGATTACATATATTTTCAAAGCTTGTCATCATCTTTATTTCCAGGCGGGCTCAATAATTTATTAGGCATCATTTGTAGGAGGCAGGATGGAGTTTAGTGGCTGAACTAGCCACACAGAAAAAAGGGACGCTGAGCCCCTTTCTCCATGTAAATATCTCTTCAGTAGCAGCGTTGCAAAGCGTAACCTCACTGATCCACTTGAACAAACTTCAAAAGGAACTCCCAACACTCACCTGGATACAAGCCAGAGGCTCATTTGTCCAAATTGAATATCCACCAACTAAATATATTCTCCCATTATGGACAGCAACTCCAGATTCATTTTGGCCTAAAGTAAAGAGAATTGAATAAAAAGAAAAAAGTAAATCTACTTCCTACATGTTTTAATTAACCCTTTTGCCACTGAGGGATACAATTTCCCCCTGTGGCACACTTGTGTACTCTGTGGGATTTCCGAGGCAACTAATCACTGCCTCCCAGTACTCAGAAGAATTAACCGCTAATTCTCAGAGAATGAATCCGTGCCGGGTCAGAACCAGGCTGAAACATGTATTAGCTAGCCAAGTTAGTAAACATAGCTTTAAACACAGCGACAGTGCCATGTGGAACTAACGGTCCTCTACTCTGTTGTATGCCATTAATTTATAGTGGTGGAAATAAGGTGTGTTTTAGAAATGCAGAACACCTCTTGTACCCACAAATGCTGTTCAGACGAGTGCTTACGTTTGCAAAGTAACAGCTGTAACCCCAAGAAGCCAGTAAAGCAGAGCCATGCCTCTAACATGCCCCAAATGAAGACAAATGGCAGAAAAGATTGATAAAGTTGCTACCCTTCCTTTCTTTACATACACAACAGTTTTAAGATTATATTAAAGTTCCTGAGCTGGGACCAGCCAGGATAATCCCTAGAAACTGACACGCCAAAGTGATGAAAGGTTTCCCCTCCCATTTCAAAAAAAAAAAAAAAGAATAACTCACTACCACATATTCTTCCCTGGAGGCCATCAGAGAGTAAAAGAGTCTCTTTTTATTGATGGGCTGACACAGGATTGACTGGAGTAATAAATAAGCTGGATCCTGCAGCAGGCAGAATCACAGACCCAGGATCGAGGGCTTACAGTACCACTAAAACTAATAGTTAAGTCCTTGTCAGTAGGCCTCTGATATTTGCAAAAACAGGAGCTCAGTCGGAAGCATCTACACCTCTGGAGGGGCTCCCAACGTCACCTTCCGCAGCAGCAGCTGTGAGTGATTGAGTGTCCACTCAACATATTGAAATGTCTTCTAATCCAACCCACTATTGTGAGTTTGGGAATTTCTCATTATTTGAGCAGCCCCGGAAGGGATCTAATCACTTGTGTAATGCAAGCTGACAAGGGAGAAAAAGCTTTTCACTCCATTACAGAACGAGGGGGTACATAGTTCACTGTGTTCCTTTCATTCTTTTTGGGAATGAGGATGGTCCATACCTAGTATTGCCCCAAAGTAATACTTGGAATGGGTACGTGTGGCCAGAAATGCAGCCACATCTCTGTGTACAGAACTCCTTTAAGGTTCCATTTCTAGGAGAATACACCCAGAAACAATATTTGACAGTGACAAATAACGAAGACCATTCTGCTGAACTCCTGAACTCACAAGAAATAAAAGACCAAAACCAGTGAGAAGTAAAAAAATAAATTGCTTCTGTAAAGAGATATTAATTCTTTCAAGTGGCTGGTTTCTCCTACCTCTATCAAAGGTCTTAAGTTAATATTGATTGATGATAATGGACTTGGCATGCCTCTTTTATCCACATGAGGACGAGCATAAAGGTAACACAGGTCCTGAGATACTAGATGCTCAGCCACCTGAGGGAATCTAGTTTTATGATGACATAAATAATGAACACCTTTCTGGTTAACACACGCAAGTTGTTATACCATTGGGCACTTAATATTTTGAGGTGCACTAAAGATGTTTAAGAAACAAGTTTGGTGACTTCTTGAATCTCTGCTTTTTCTGATTTACTTAATCGAAGGTACTTGCCAGTCAACAGGTTGAAATTACAACGCGTCCACTGGTCAGTATCTATGTTGTAAGAATCTATGTGGCGTACAAGGATCCGGTCATTATTGTAGTCTAGGTCATTGCCTCCAAGAACATAAAGCTTCCTCTGGACAGCAGCCATGGAATGGTAGACCCTCCTCTGTAGCATGGGGCTGCGGCTTATCCACTTATTCTGAAAAAGAAAAAAGAAAAGAAATTCAAGTGCATTCTGTTAATGTTTATCAGTCACATTCTATTTGAGGTTGTTTTATACGTTAGAAAGTGTGGACTATGTATGTGAGAACAAGTACAAAAGAGACACATATTTCTTCTTCTTCTCTTTTTAAATTGAATCAGAATCTCTGTCACCCAGGCTGGAGTGCAATGGCACGAGCCTGGCTCACCACAACAGCCTCAAACTCCTTGGCTCAGGCAGTCCTTATGCCTCAGCCTCCTGAGTAGCTGGGACTATAGGTCCGGCGTATCTTTTGCTTTTTTGTAGAGGTGAGGTTTCACCATGTTGCCCAGGTTGGTCTAGAGCCTCTGGGCTCCGCAATCCTCTTGCCTCGGCCTCCTAAAGTGCTAGAATTATAGGCGTGAGCCACCACACCTGGCTCAACACTTTTAAAAAATGCTTGTGATGTGAACCATTGGGTATCTGAGGCCCCTAGGTAAGCTGGAGTAAGAGTGGCTTTGCTGTTCTTTCCAAAATTAACCTCCTGAAGATTCTGTTCGGCATCAGACTTCCCACCCTTCCTTTGTATCAGCCCCCTTGAACATATTATAATCACATTGTATGCCAGATTGGGAGAAGTTATTACTAGTGACAAGTTATTTGTTTTGGTAGAAGGCCAAGTTTTATAAGATAACTTTAAGGAATGGTGAAGCCTTCAATATTTGGTTCTAGGTCATCCTCGATAACGAGAAGTGTATGCTCAAGTTTTCTTAAAAGAAGACTCCTATTGTAAAATGCGATGAAAATCGAATGTCAACTAAGTAATGCACAAGTAAGTAAACAAAGTAATGAACAGGTAAGTAAACCTATTTTCTTCTACATAAACACTAAACATACAGGAAGAACCCAGACTTCTTTTTGCCAAGAAAAATCTGGATTTGGGCCAGAAAAAAATCATATGATGTTTTGAATACACAGAATATCACCATTTCTCAAAACTAAGAGAAGCAGCAATAAACAACAACATTTTGTATAAACATTGGTCCATTCACTAGCAGGCATATATGCTAGCTCATTTCTATGATAATTTATCTTTTAAAGATACACTCCAGAAAAAAAAGTGGTTTATACAGTTTGCAAGGCTTGCATTTATCTTCTCCCCATTTGAGTATGTCATGATAAGAACTTTCTTCCAATCAAATATCTTCTTTAATAGAATAGTCAGGCCTTTTTTTCAGCTATTGCTAAGAAATATCTTTTATATACTCATATTATGCATGAGTGAATTGAACTCAAAACTCTGGTGATGCTTTTCTTAGGTGCTTTCTATAAGACAACCTATTACAGTATCAAGAATCAGTGTTTGCATTAGCAGTCCGGTCTCCTGCCACAAAACTATGGATGCCATCTGGTTTGCAAAGCCTGCTTGCATCCCCTGATTATATCTTTAGCTTCCTTCACTGCAGTGCCTGCCAGGTGAGCCGCCAACCGCTGCAAAGGCAAAGAAACAGAAAGGCCTGGTGGGGTCATTCCTAATAAGCTAGCGTGTGAATACTAATCAGTGGTGGGGAAGCAGAGGTCACCCAGCCTGCCTGTTGGCAGGTAGCGATGTGCTCTGTGGCAGATGGCAGGCATTATCGACTCTCCACAAAGGCCTAGAAGAGAAATAAGCACCAAGGCTGAATGATAGAGTTATTGAGATTCTGAGCAAGATGCAAGCAGATGTGATGTTTGCCAGTACCCACCGTAAACAATATGCCAGCAGAATTTTTAAAAAGAGCATGAGTGTACAAACATGAAACAGAACTCATTTGAGAAATGTTAACACCTTCTTCCTCCTTAACCACGTGTGCACCAAACTCAAGCAACTGCAATTAATGATTCCTCTCGAGACAGGTGACCCGTGGACATTTGGTCTCTAAAATCTACAGCTTCTAATGACATCGGGAAACACTTGAGAAGAGAGAAATGCCTTCATTAAATTCAGCATCAAGTAATTGTTAAAAGGATACCACATACGCTGAGGTCACTCTGGACATACATTTGGTGGCCAACGCTGCCAGACTGCCAAAGCCAACCTGTTGTTTCTTGTCCCATTACATTCATCTGATGAATATTCAACATCCAAATGAAATCATTTTGGAATATTGTCATAATCAAGAAAAATATTTACATTTCCAAAATCACAGTAATGGCTACATTCAACAGACATGTGCCAAGTTCAAAAATATTTTGGTGGAAGGAAAAGAGAATAAAAAAGGTTTTTGGAGGGAAAAGAGTCATGAAGTATGCATGAGAAGTAGACAAAAGGAAGGACAGGCACCATCAAAATGCATATTCAGACCTGGCTATTAGATGAAAACTTCCCAGATACTTCCACTTCTCAGTCTTCAGACACTTGTCCTTAGGACTTGTCCTAGATACCTGTTGTAGGTCATCTTGGCTATATTAAGTTAAATAATATTTCTTATTTTAAAAGTAATGAAGCCATAAGCATGCTCCTCTCCTAGAATGGCACCTCTTCCAAAAGAAAAGCATCACCAGAGTTTTGAGTTAAATTCACTCATGCACAATATGAGTATATAAAAGATATTTCTTAGTAATAGCTGAAAAAAAGGCCTGACTATTCTATTAAAGAACATATTTGATTGGACATGTTCAAATGGAGAGAAGATAAACGCAGGCCTTGCAAACTGTATGAAGGGCCTAACAACAGGACAATCAAAATTCTTTCTACATGTGAAAAAGTGGTGCATGTACAGCATAACACCTGAGGAGCTGAAATTTTGCGAGTAACAACAAAAATAACAACAAAAAGTAACCCAAAGTAGTTCACTCAGATGCTTCCTTTTTTCTATATAAGCTGAAGAGGCGTATGTGTGTGTGTGTGTGTGTGTGTGTGTGTGTGTGTGTGTGTGTGTGTATGTGTGTGTGTGTGTGTGTGTGTGTACTTGGCATTCCAATGACTAATTATTGTGGAATCTTTTAGAATTCATTTTAATTAAGGTAATGAGCTTTTCTTCTACGATTCTTACCTGGTTAGGTTCATATACCATTAGCCTGTTCTGATACTGTGCCGTGTTAGTTACTCCACCTGTAATGGATGAACATGTGTTAGAGCTTTTCATGAATAAGAAGTAGGATATTCCAACATAAGAATGAGATACAATTAAAGGAAAATTAGCTACTGCTGAGGATCCATTTGTATACCCTCATGGTGAACCCATGACATAATTAAGAAGTTTATTGTTGAAGCAGTTTCATTTTTAAGAAACATTTCAAGAAGCAATCTGGTTGAGAGGAAGCAACGCGTATGCTGACGTAACTAGGAGGCCCCCAATCTGGCGAGCTGCTCTGTGTGGCCAGAATGGGGGGCAAAGTATAGGGGGTGAGAAAGTAGAATGCACACAGACAAATCTCTATACAGTAAATGCCAGGGGCATTCTTCTATGGAAAATTCTTATTCCTAGCTAAATTGACCATTTTAAAGCTCTCTGTGTGCTAATACAGTGATATCTTGATATCTTTTTTAGAAGAGCTGTAGATATCAAGATATCACTGTGTTATCCAACAAAAGGCATCACCTGTCAACACAGAGCTAGAACCAGCACTGTCCAATAGAACATAACAAGAGCCACAAATGCAAGGCCACATATGCAATGATACATTTTCCGGTAGCCACATTACAAAGTAAAAAGAAAGTGAAATTAAATGGAATACATTTTATGTATCTCAATATAGCCACAATATTATCATATTTCCACATGCAATCAATATAAAAGTTATTGAGATAGTTTATATTCTTTTTTCTACACTAACTCTTCAAAATTCAGCGTGTATTTGACATAACCCATCTTGATACAGATTAACCTGGATTCAAGAGCTCGGTAAACCTTGTGTGGATGATGGCTATCACACTAGGACAGCACAAATCTGCAGTTTCTGTTGTAGCCAACTCTTGAAGCCCTTTTGACAATTACTTAGATGTAAGAGACTTGAGGTCTTTTGCTTATCAAGAACCACTAAAACAATTCTCACATTGTCCAGCTGTTTCTTGGTTTTCCTCATACTGTTCATGCTTGGAGTGTGCAATGAGCCCTTTCTAACCCAGAATTGCTACTTTTGCTTTAAGTTTTACCATCACATAGGAAAACTCTAAAACACAATACATAAAACAGCACAGTAAGAAAATAACTTGCTGTGAGACAATATCTACTCCAAAGAACAGAGGTTATTGTATAAAAAAAGACACCCGCACCCGAATATTCATCACAGCGCAATTCACACGTGCAAAGATGTGGAATCAACCTAAATGTCCATCAATTGGTCAGCGGATAATGAAAATGTGGTACAGGTACACTTTGGAATACTATTCAGTGATCAAAAGGAATGAAGCCGGACTCGGTGGCTCAGCCTATAATCCTGCGCCTTTGGGAGGCTGAGGTGAGTGGATTGCTTGAGCCCGCGGGTTCGAGACCCGCCTGGGCAGCGAGACCTCATCTCTACAATAAATAAAAAAATCAGCTGGGCGTGGTAGCACGCGCCTGTCGTTCCGGCTACTCGGAAGGCTGAGGCGGAAGGATCGCCGGAGCCCAGCAGGTCGAGGCTGCAGTGGCCGGGAGTGGCCACTGCACTCCAGTCTGGGCGACAGAGTGAGACTCCAACTCAAAAAAAAAAAGGAATGAGGTGATATCTTTTGCAGCAACATGGATGGACTGGAGAACATCATCCTAAATGAACTAACTCAGGAACAGAAAACCAAACACCACACGTTCTCACTTATCAGTGGGAGCTAAACTCAGGCTATGCCAATACACAGAGAATGGCACAATGGACACAGGAGACTCAGAAGGGGAGAGAGGCATGAGGGGACAAAAAAAAGTCACCTATCGGGTACAATGTGCACAGGTGGGGGTGGTGGGTACTCTTAAAGCCCAGACCAACAACTATGTGTATCCCCCAAAATGATTTAAATATTTTAAAAAGAGAGGAAAAAAATAAAATATCACAAGAAGACATTAAATGTTAGATTAAAAAAAATAGGAATGTGAGCCCAAATATACATATAGATATATAATCTTAAGAAATATTTCCTTATGCATAGTTCTAGACACCAGTGTAGAATGAATAACATTCTTATGTTAATAAGTATCACAAAGACGCACTTAATTTTTCAATAAAGATCTAGAACTGAACCAGACTAAAAAAGTTTCCTACTGGAATTTTTAAAATTTTAAAATATGTACTGTTATAATACTGACCGAGACAGCCTTAATATTTCCCTAGCTTCATTAAACTAAAAAAGGCTGCTTCCTGATTTGGCCCTTGATCTCCTTATTTTTAGAGTATTTACTTTAGAACACTTATAATCATAAATTCTTTCTCTGCCTCTTAGAGTGTAAATCATTTTAAAAGCTGCCTGCCAGTTTTACAACCCAAGGATATCTTCCTTTGGGACCTGGGAGTCATCACTTTGAAATGTAAACATCAAGAAGGAGAGTGTCCTATGTCCCAGCTTCTATGGGAGGGTAGGACCCTAGCTTTGATAGGCACCGATGAACAAACATAGATGGCCTAATCACAGAGAAAAAATTTGCAGACTCAGGAATAAATGAATGTGATCAATACATCTAGGGATCAACCTTACCCACTCTTCAGTACTTTTCCACTAACTCGTCCCAGTGCTTAAAAGCCATCCTCTTAAAAACTTCTTGTTTTAATGCCATCAAAAAGTAGGAAAGGGACATGAGTAGACACCTCTCAAAAACAGACACACAAGCGACCAAAAAACATGAAAAAATGCTCAACATTTTCATCAGAGAAATGCAAATCAAAACCACAATGAGATGTCATCTCAGGTTAGTCACAATGGCTAGTAGCAAAAAGTCAAAGCGCAACAGATGTTGGCATGGGTGCAGAGATCGCTTGCACACTGTTGGTAGGAATGTAAACTAGTTCAACTTCTATGGAAAACAGTATGAGATTTCTCAAAGTACTAAAAACAGAACCAAGCAATCTCACTACTAGGGATCTACCCAAAGGAAAAGAAATCATTATATTAAAAAGATACCTGTACTCATGTGTTCATTGTCGCACTATTTACAAAAGCAAAGTCATGGAACCAACCTGAGTGCCCATCAACGATTGACTGGATAAAGCAAATGTGGTATATATACACCATGGAATATTATATAGTCATAAAAAGGAACAAAATCATGTCCTTTGCAGTGACATGGATAGAACTGTAAATCATCATCCTAAGTGAACTACTCAAACAGAAAACCAAACACCACATGTTCTCACTTATATGTGGGAGCTCATTAGTCATAAAAATGCAAATAACAGACTCTGGGGGCACTAAAAGTGGGGAAGTAGGGAGAGAAGCTAGGGTTCAGAAATTACCTGTTGGGTACAATGTACACAGTCCAGGTTATGAGTGACGTGAAGCCCAGCCCCCACCAGTACACATATCCCTGTAACTAACATGCACATGCACCCACTGAATCCAAAATAAATTTTAAAGAAGATTTGTGGGGGCCAGGCATGGTGGCTCACACCTGCAATCCCAGCACTTTAGGAGGCCAAGGCAAGAGGATCACTTGAGCCCAGGAGTTCAAGACTAGCCTAGGCAACATACTGAGACCTTGTCTCTACAAAAAAATTTTTTTTTTAAATTAGCTGGAACTAGTTCAACCTTTATGGAAAACAGTGTGATGATTCCTAAAAGATATGAAATTCGACTTTCCGTACAATTCAGCAATCCCCCTACTGGGAATATACCTAGATGAACTTAGATCACTCTACAAAAAAGATACCTGCCCACACATGTTTACTGCAGCACTATTTATAATAGCAAAACATGGAACCCGCCGTGCTGCCTATTGAAACTGGACTAGATAAAAAAAATGTGGTACATATACACAATGGAATATTATGCAGCCATAAACAAGAAAAAATTATGGATTTTGCAGTAACTTAGATGGATTTAGAGTCTATAATACTCAGTGATTTATCTCATAAGTGAAGAACTGAGTACCACAGGTTCTCTTTTTTTAAAAAAAATTTATTTTAAAGATGTGGGGTCACATGTTCTCACTCATAAGCAGACCCTGAATATTTACCATAATACTATAAGAGAGGGATTGGCAGTAGCTAGAAACTGCTAGGGTGGGAGAGGGTACATAACATTAATAAGAGTACCTGATCTCAAACCAGGTGAAGTCGTTTGAAGGGAGGACCAAACTTCACCTGTATGATGACCATTTGTATGCTTAATTTGAATTGTACCCCACATTTAAAAAAAAAAAAACATTAAAAACAAAAACAAAACACAAAAGGGCAAAGGAAAAAGGAAAAGAAAATGTAAAAAAAAAAATTAGCCGGGTGTGGTGGCACACATCTGTAGTCCCAGATTCTCTAGAGGCTGATGTGCAAGGATAGTTTAAGCCCAGGAGTTTGAGGCTACAGTGACCTGTGACCATGCCATTGCACTCCAGCCTGGGCGACAGAGTAAGACCCCAATTTTGAAAGAAAACAAAAGATTTGCTGATCTTAAATTTCTGAAAAATCTGTAAATGCAGTCAGTTTTTAAAAAAATAATGAATACTAAAATAAATATTGTTATCATTGTTCAGCTTCCAAAGCTGTCTTTTCCTCAGCTATTCTGTACATAACTCTGAGTGTACACATGTAGCAAAGAAAAGATGAATCAGCTGAGGCTCTGAAGTCAGACTGCCTGACCTCCCAAGCTTGGCTCTACCACTTACCATCTGTGTGACCTTGACAAAGAGATGTAGCCTTCTGTCTTTCGTTCTTGTCATTTTTTTAAATGACAAAAATGGTGACAGTCACAAACCTACTTCACAGGGTTGTGGTGAAGATTCAGTGAGTCAGTATTTGTAGAGTCCTGAGCATGGTACCTAGTACAAAGTAATTATTTTATGCCTTTAATAAATAAAATAAGGCAAAATAGACTGATGTTGCAAGAAATGTGTATATTATAGACACATATATAATATGCCTGATATGTATTATTTCTTATGATAGGCAACAAAAAATATATCATTTTAAATTTAGAGAACTATACCCATGTTG